ATAACACAATGAGAAGACGATCACTGGTAAATGCGCGCATTTCGTATTGTATCATCAGTATCAATACAATAACTAGAACTTATCCCGTTCCAAGGGTGTTACCAATCAATCAAATGCCGTGAGGTGAACGCGGCAATCATTCTAGGACCGGGGTATCCGCAGGTCAAAAACTGGCTGTTTCTGCACACACAGGGCTGGCTTGTCGTCACGGCTTAGGCGAACTGTAGTAAGCCTGGATTGGGATTGCATAATATAAATGTTGGTAAAATTGTGCCTCCTTCTGCTGTACACATGCAGGAGGTGAAAAACGTGAAACGAAATCTAGGATTTGACCGCCTGTGAAAATGTTTACAGGCATCCGTGTTTATCCATGGGTAATGGGTCATGTAAGATGGTGCAGCGAGAGAAGTGCAAGGTCAACCCCATGTTTGAACTCTGCCAGCGTGGGAGCACATATGACAGACTCCGGCAAGACATTCCGCGTTCTTCGACCTCGTACGGAAAAGCTATTCCGTCGGTATTCTAATCGACTGCGTTACTGTGCCACAGATGCAGCGCCCTACATTTGTCCACATTGAATCGAAGTAGATTCTGGACAACGCAGCTTAGCGTTTAAACACTGAAAGCGATACTTATGGTGAAATGCAGTTCTGAGGACAAGAGCGCCGGGTATCCTTGCGAACGACTTCACGACATGCTGATGCAGCGCCCAGATCTACTACGAAAAATACATTCATCGGGCTAACCGAACAACCTCTTCGTGGTGTCAGCTGGTCGGTTCGCGTTTACCCACTTCCAGCAAATAGTTCGGTGGTGGGTTTTCGCCTGACAAGCATTCTTTCCATAAAACTCCACAAATGTCCGTTTAACAACACTGCGACGTGGCGGATGTGACTCGCCGGTAACTAGAGTCACTGCTTCTTACGTATCTGGATGATCTAACCCAACTCACGGACGTGGGTCATCCAATACGAAGATTTCATTTCTCCTCTTCTTATGCCTGACCGAAAGCAACCACAAATACGGCGTCACATTCACAAATTCAAGCAACACAACAACACTCTTTCTTACCTACTTGCATTCATGCACACTTAACACATGGATCCATATGTTACTCATAAACTTGTCACTTTTACATTAACCAGTCCTGGTTGTACACCATAATCATGCGTGATCAGACGTGTTTCGCACTGTCGAGCATAAAACATTTCTTTCTTTCTTTCAGTATTGCTCGATAACTGTGGTTCCAGATAATATTATGTCAAGCAGCACATCAACTTTTAATCGGAAACACTTGTACCGACATGTCACTTTGGCTCCTGTGCTCATGAAACCATGGATTACAACATGGCGAAATCACGCCGAACGTTGACTATTGTCACCATAGTATTAACCTTGCTTTTTTCGCGAACCAGCGCCATAATGCTCCTGGATCCCACTATTATCCGACGAACTTCTCAAGTGCATAAACTGTGAGAATTTTGGCTTTACTTTATTTTAATAACACGTTTTAATGTTCCAAAGCAGCTATGCTTGTAGGTATATTTGATCATGCCTTCACTTGGTTGCCTCCTTCTATCGAGAATATACTATTTATTTATTTATTTATAACTTCAGTAGCGTAGCCATTGTACTGACTAATAATGTAAGTACTTTTTGTTATTGCATTGAAGCAATAAATGTAGATATTTATTTTTTCAATTTGTTGTACGGTCAGCATATGCAGAAACAAACGGGGGTAGGTTAAGTGTCCCGGTTTGGCGCGCAAGGAATCTGGAAGCGCCACGCTTTGGCTCGCGAATAATCTGGCCACCTTACATGCATTGTACCTAACGTGTGCGTCGCCACCGCTGAATCTCACAGTAGAGCATTATACTTACACGTCACCATGACTTGCGCCTCAGTTGTTCTAGCAGTGTTGTGTGCAGTTTGCTTGCGGTACGTCCTATACACACATATTCACAGTTTTCGCGAATACGTTTGTCAACGCAGTTAGTCATCTTACCTACGAGAAGTGTGTCTTTCAGATACACCACTGTTGAACAGATCCCGAATCTTATTCCTTGGTTAGTGCCGTCGGAAAGGAAAAGGAACTTCCCTCTACCTATAATATTCTTATCGTTCCAATCCATTCCGCCGTATATTTTCAATGTGGTTTTAGAATATTGTAAAACGGGTGTTTCACTAACGGTTTCGGGCGTCCACTCTTCCGCAATTACATTACTGTCTACTTGCAAGCGGCGTTCCCAACTTCCTTCTCTGTGCACATAGCCTTATCTGTGAAACACAGAGACCGGAATTGTAGTGCTGTGTCAAATCTGTGTCCGCCGGTTGACGAAACATCGCTTTGGAAGCTAATCATTCTTGCAAACAGAGCAGTCAAGGAATGGCGATGTGCAACTTCATGGTGAGCGATTTCAGATTCCTCAAAAACTAGCTTTTCTTATCCACTTTTATGTTAAAAATGTGCCATCCACTTGATACCAACAACTTTTGGCCATTTGCTGGAGTTTGCTAGTATTATATACAAAATAGTGGACATTGACGATCTAATGATAACACCATGTTCTTGAGTGCCTACTTCCGACTGAAACCCGAGCTAAAACAATATACGGCACAATGTCGGTTGTTTCAACCGCCTTAAGCTTCGGCCACTCCCTAGGTTAAACTCTTCAGTCAAACAGCACTTCACCATACCCAGTGCGTCGCATTTCGGTACCTTGGTGGGGAGTGCGCTAACGTTAACATAGATCATCGTTTCATCTTCGTTTCACACGAACTCATGACGCTTCTTTACAAACGTATTAGTTCACCATGTCGACGGCTGCAATATACTAACGATTGTATATAGACCAGTAAATGCAAGCTGTTGCCAACCCGGTAACGTTATCACAATTTACGCGGTACCCTTCCGCAAAGCTCACTGCAGTACATCATGCATTGCTGTGCAGATGCTGATGCTAATCTTATCATTAAGGCCGATCAACTGCAGTTAACAGGTAATTCGGCCACACCCACCGATAACTAACGCACTGTTCCATGGTAACGCGTAATGAAACACCGCACGCATTAATAATTTCACGGAGACACTACTATCCATACCCGATCACACGTAGACACGGCTATGCCTAAGGCAATCCAGGTGAATTTCACGGACCTGTCTGCTATCTTGCATGCAGCAACGTTTAGGGAAGGCAATCGATACTGTCTCATTGTGGAGCACATTTCACGTCCGGTCGTATGCGCGCAACGGTGAGCACTGTGAACGCGGATGGAATATCTCCGGACCCCAGTTCTGTGTTGTGTGTGACGATGCCGCACAAGTGAGTGGGTGGGAGTTGCAGTACTTCCTCAACCATCCATAGATGCCGCGTGCTAGTCCGCATCGCGTCCTACAGTGACTGAGCTCACGTGTTGTTTTCACGTCCGCGTGTACATCACGTGGTTTGTTGGCTGAACGCAAAATCTAACTGCTGCACCAACCGATGCAGATGTTCTGAGTACTCGTGCACTGGTTCGTAAGTGATCAAGACGATGGGCCCGCATTTGTGCGTGTGCGCCACTTTATATTCAACATGATGTGCTTGTGGATTCAGTTGAATATTCTTAAGGAGGAGCTTGCTTCCGTTATGGATTCAATTTACTCGTAAATTTTTTAGATGTCTGATTTGATACAAGTGTGGACAGCCTGGGTGAGAATGCGTTGATAGGGCGAGCATATTATACCGCTTCGCTACTTAATGGTCCTCACCAACTTCACACACCTTAAGCACACTCGGTGTAATTAAGGCAACTCACGGAGGAATGCGTGCTAGATGGGATTTTGATGCTCGAATGAAGCAGTGTTGCAACAACACCAATTACACATAACGCCTGTGCAGAAGGTAGATGGATTGCCAACATCCGTGTCCTGATTTGTTTCTCACTCTGGCCCCACGAGGCATCCACAGGACGCCTGCTTCTGCAGAGGTTCCTATGAGTGGCTTGCGCTGCAGCACACAAATACGCGCACCCATATCAGGTGTAAACGCGAAGGAATAAGACCGGGGGTATGTGGATGGGAGCCGCGTTTCATCAACGGAGGCAGCTCACACTCCTTCGGCAAGCAGAACGGAAGCATTCCTGCCTACTTGGGAAATCATGCATACCAGACGTACATAAGGCGGTGGTTGGACCGTAGCCCGTTCCACACAGGATGGTACCACTGTTTGAAACTAGCACGGTCACGAGAACGGTACACGTAGTCCCCTCCAGCAACGACCTACTGTCTCCTGAAACCAGTATGGACGAGGTGGTGGGTAATATACAGGTAGGCACCTTGTCAGCATGCACATCAGACGCAGCCACCCCGGGGAGCTCAATCAGCATCTAACCCCTGAAATGCAAGAATACTCAACACGCAGATAAACGTACTGTATAAAGCACAGCATGTATGATAACGGTGGGGCGCCAGACATTGCCTTGCTTAATACGGGATCACATGGGTGCCTTATACATGCATGCATTAAGTGCTCTGAGTGTAATGCGCGGGCTTCACAAACTCCCGACAGTCTAAAACTCGATAAAGACGAGGATAGAACAGTTACCTTGTTACAAACGTGTCCTCAAAATGCGCCATGATGATTGTAGCGACACACCTCTCTAGTATCGCATCGATTAAATGCTTCTTTTTCTTGACTGTCTCCGTTCCCCAGTAAACCCTGGCTTAAGGAAAGGGTGACCATAGATTCCTTTAAATGTCATCTGACTCTTTCACATCGTATCACGGTGTTGCACTATAGGCGTACACATTGAAGCGAACAATTAGACCACACTTGTGACTCCGGAAACGCAACAGGAAAAACATGACTGAACAACAACATACATGCACCAACGATAAGAGAATGGGCAGGTTCACCTTTTACTTGACTACGATCGCCTGATGATTTATGCGACAACACAACACGCACACTACAACGTGCAAGTAACTAAACCACATCAGTGATCCACAAACGAATTACCAATGAGCGACAATAGAATTTCGGCGTCGCTTTTATGAGTAACTATCGATTGTGGATGGAACCAGTCTCTGAAAAGGAAGCAGATGCGAACCGTCACCTACGAACACAGCAATAAAGATGTGACACAGATTCTTTCAAAAAATCCACTAAGTAGTTACATCACTTACAGATAGATTCAGGACATAAATGGCTGTCAGATGCAAATAAATCTAAGTGCATATATTTCAGAAATCGGTTAGAGAGGTGTTATCAGTATTCCGTGATAATCTTTTTGAAGGAAAAAACCAGCCGTTTTTCCAAACAAGGTCCGGAAGTTATTTATCAAATGCAGCGCGTCACTAGACAAGGGATATATTCACATCCATCCTTGTTCGCCCTGAAGTTGTGTACGATAACCTGGTTACAGCAGGACGGAACAAGGGCTTCATGCGACAATTCGGAGTAAAGGTGCAGCAATCTAATGCGTGTTCCTGTTCATCATTTGGAAATGATTATTCATCTGGAAAAGGTGTATTAAACGTGCTTCACGTATATATAAATATTCGTTTATATTTATTTACATCGTAGACATTGCGATACGCTCTCTTATCAAGACTGTGATTCTCTTCGAATTGAATGTTAGTCCGGTCACTGGAGCTACAACTAAAGAAAATGAATATCGGGTATTTCCCGCTTGAAACGCTGCATGCCACGATTAACTCCTTACTTCTGGCATTTGTCGAGCTAACGAATGTACATAAGTGCAAAGCTGGCCGTGGAGAGCAGTACTGTAAGGGCACAATATCTTCTAACAGTGTGTGTGTGGGGTATATGACAGCCCTTTTTCTTATGCAGCGTGAAGCTAAGTGTTACTCTCCGTCGAACGTAGATCGAATGGATAGTCCATACCGAAAGATTAATGATTCCATATCATTGAGACAGAAGCAAATAGATCAGTTTAAATTCATACCTTGTTTTCTATTACGACTACTAAACGGATCATAAGTGTATTACCGGTGGGCATTAACATGCAACGTATGTCCAACGTTGAGCGTCGTAGCTACTACAACTGTAAGTGGAGTAAATCGTAACGTTGTCACAGTGCTAACCTCTGACAATATATCCAGGCAGAGTAAGAATAGTGTGAACAATATAAAGGAAAACATATGGTAGGGAAGTTGACGTTAAGCGTACAAAGTGCTAACAACCTGTTGGTCTGTGTGGTTCTCAGCTCGAGTGTTAGGAGGATGAAGAAAAGACATCTTTTGTGACCTTTTAATTATCGGCTTTCGTTCCCCTATCATTTATCTATTGATATTTGTTTAAACGCATCATTTCCTTAAGTTGATTGGCCGGCATATGTCGTTCCTTATGGACGTTTTCGCAGGGTCATAGTTCCGACATCGTTATCTTATACAAACATGATTGTCGTACTTTTATCTTTTCTAAATCGTCTGTCTGGTTTAGCGTCTTCTGTGTTGTTGCTTGGCCCCGATTTGCTTTAGTAGCTTTGCTTCTACCCCTATTGTACCCTGTATAGAGAAGCAGTATTCTCACGCATACAATTCTGTCCTGGCTCGTCTTCGGTGTCCTCATAGCATTCGCGGGGTGCGAACAGTCGGCTGCGGTACAATAACGAGCTTGTTTAAACAAATGGTAATGCAATTAATGCAGTGAGTTAGTTCAGCATATTCTTAACTCGGAGTAGCTTAGGTGGAACTACGAACCAGGACCTTGAGGCCTCACTGATGCTATTGCTTAGTCTGGTAGCGGACAGTCAGCAACTAACTCGCTTAACTCTGCGAACAAACCGAAATCCATGCCAATGCGCTATTGCTGCTTACTGATGAGATGGTGGTGGCAGATTATTGAAATCAATGACTCAAGTAAATTGCTAGGCTTAATGTGGTCCTAACTCGAGACCAAGTAGAATGATTTATAAACTACGCTAGAACGAAGCGGCACAATGAATGTGACTGAGATCTGCTCCGGCCAAGAAAGAGATTAACTCAGTTCAGTTGGCTGCATGAAACACCGATTTTTCTTCTTTGACTATCAGATCTTACTCTAAAACGTTTGCCCTGCTTTAGGGAATACAAATGAGTGCGCAGAGGTAGGCAGCGACTATCCTTTTCGAGTGATGTAGGGGTTCACGGAGCGGATCACAATCTACTTGCACAGGCGATTAGACAGTGATAAACGCCTTCGGTACCGAATTGCAGAAGAAGTTTGGAATTGTTGAATGGGAGCCCATATTCTACGGGTGCCACCACCATAAAACCTCGAGAAACTCACAATCGATCACATTGCTATCAGTTACCGCTGGAGAGGCTGCATCCAGAACTGTCGCTCGATTTGGAGCACAGGTGTTGACACCGATCATGCACTTGTATGTGCTGACATGCGGATGCTTTTTGGCGGACTCCCGCGACGATGTTGTGAGCGCATTGACACCAGCCAACTGGCGAAGCCAGCTGTTCTGAACGCCTATCAAATTACGCTGTCATTCGGGTTGGATAAACGCTCACTGGATGCAATTGAAGCTCACTGGTCTCATATTCACCAGACCTTACTGGCAGCAGGCAAATCTTCATGTGGTATGTCTAATCGCCGACATGAATATTGGGTCTCTTCACAGTCTCTGGAATTTATAGATGCTCGCCGGCATATTCCGGCTGGAAGCGAACACAATGAAACTAGCAAAGAGCTCCGGGCGAAACTTCGTGCTAGCCTGAAGATAGACCGCGAATCCTGGTGGTCTCGTCGTGCAACAGAGATGGAAATGGCCGCTGCCCTTGGTAACCATCGTGAGTTATTCCGTCTTATACGGGAAACGGGAAGCAGGAGACCTGGTGTTAGTGAAACTATACGTGACGAAAGTGGACAGCCTATCCACAACTTATCAAAACGCCTGGAACGTTGGGCTGAGCACTTTGAAAGGCAATTTAATCGGTCGGAATTGTTAGATTTCCCGCCGACCAGTGATCGCCCTTCTCAGTGGGCTGTTCCTTTGGATCCACCCTCTCGCTCAGAAGTCGAACATGAGATCAAAGTGTTGAAGTTAAATAAAGTCGCTGGACCTGATTATCTTCCTCCAGCCCTCTTCAAATTCGGGGGACCTGCTCTTGTGGATGATTTACACGAGTTACTAGTGAGATTGTGGGAGCAGGAAACTGTCCCAACCGATTGGAGCGGCTCCATCATAGTCCCAATTTTCAAAGGAGGCTCACGATCGGGATGCGGCAGCCATAGAGGAATCAGTCTGATCTCCATCGCCTCCGAATTGCTTGCCTCTGTCATCCTTCACAGACTGACTGGCACTCGTGAAAGCCAGATTCGCGAAGAGCATGCTGGATTTCGTCGAGGTCGTGGCTGCATTGACCACATCTTCACCTTGCGTCAGTTGTTGGAGCACCGTCACATATATTGGCGGCCCACCGTTGTCGTGTTCCTCGATAGCAAAGATGCATTCGATTCGGTGGATAGACATGCACTTTGGGACTGTCTACTCAGGAAAGGTGTACCTGAGAAATATGTGAATATTATCCGAGCATTATATGCGCGTAGCTCTGGCAGAGTGAGGGCTTACGGCAAGTTGTCGTCGCCCTTTAGTATCTCCAGCGGCGTGAGACAAGGATGTCCTTTGTCACCTTTCCTCTTCAACTTCGCTGTTGACGAAGTCATGGAAATCGCGTTCACAGGACACGACTTTGAAGGTGTGGAGCTACTCCCAGGAGAACGACTTCTTGATTTAGAGTATGCTGATGATACTGCCCTGATCTGTGACAGCTCACAAACGTGTCAAGCGGCACTGGACAGATTAGCACTAGCTGTCCGTCACTTCGGGCTTTGCTTCGCACCCTCGAAGTGCAAAGCGTTTCTCTAAGATTGGTCTGGACCGCCTCCTCCGCTGACCCTTGGTGGGGATCAGCTAGAAGTCGTTCAAAAATTCAACTACCTGGGAAGTTGTATCAGCGCCCGTGGGATTGAAGATGAAATCACGAATCGTATAGCAAAAGCTCGGGGCGCTTTTGCTAACCATCGCCACTTATGGCGCCGGCGCGACATCACTCTCACCCTGAAGGGTAGAGTGTACAATGCAGCAGTACGTTCGACCCTATTGTACGGTTGTGAAACCTGGCCGCTTAAAGCAGCGGACCTGAAGAGGCTAGTTACGTTCGACCACCGGTGCCTTCGTAATTTAGCTCACATCTGGTGGGAACACCGCGTGAGCAACGAGCGTGTTCGACGCCTTGTTTATGGCACAGGAAAAGAAAATGAACCGCTCAGCACCGTTATTTCACGTATCAGGCTCCGATGGCTCGGCCACGTGTTACGCATGCCAGCCCACCGACTTCCGCGACGTGTGTTGTTTGCGCGCCGGGGGTGTGAATGGAAGAAGAGGAGGGGTGGCCAAGCGATGACTTGGTCCAGAGGAATGAAGGCCCTAACTTCTGAGCTGGCCTCTGTTGGAGCGTCTCGGCTCCCTGGTTGGGGTCCGAAAGACGATGAACACGTTTGGTTGGACACACTTGCTGATATGGCTAGGAGCCGACCTCAGTGGCGTTCGTGCTGTGAGTTTCTTTGTCCCACCTCATTCTTCTTAGCCTCCCCCTCCAACCACGATCTCATTATTTAGCCTTATATAATTTTGCATAATAATTTTTTTTTGGGTGCACAGCAGCCGGCTGGTGGCTTACCGGAACGATGCCCATCCGTTACCGGTAGCTCAGCCAGCTTGCACCAGTTGCTTTTTTTCTCATTTTTTCTATGTATTGCGGCACAGTAGCTGAGGTGTTCCCCACCTCTAGCTGACGTGTGTGTGATGATGATGATGATGAGTTTGGACACCTTGGGTCATTGCTTACTGCTCGCAGGACTGCAAAGAGCGGCCGAACGTAGAAGTGGTTTTACAATGTTGGAGCACAGTAGCATCAGTTTATCCTTTCTTGTTACAAAAATTACACAGGTAAAAAGAGAATAACCACCGGTAGATAAGCGAAAGTTGACAGATTACATATCAAATCCCTAAGAATACAAGTTGTATCAAGTGTAAGCGCAACTTCCGTTTCTGTCGAGAAGGAAATTG